ATCAGCACCAGGCTTGTGCCATGCTACATTGCACCAGTAGGGCAAGTGATCCACTTTACTAGGGTTACACCAGTCAGATAAAGAGGGTAACTGACTTTCTCCTTTGCTCAAGATGTTGTATTCCAGTCACACTGCATCCTGTCGTGATGAAATGAACATTGCACTTTTGAGATTCATGCGATTTCTTGCTGTATGTGACAGTTCTGCTCCCTTGAGTTCTGTGTCCTCAAGCCACTCTGTAATTGTTAAGGCTGGGGCACAGCAGGGTGCCTTACTTCACTTATGGCTAAAGTAAAAATATCAAAAGTTATTGCATCATTCAGCACATGTTTTACACATTAAATACATTTATTATGAATATATGAAGAAATGTATCTAACATAGACTTCAGGTGTAAGTGAAGAGCACATCTTTTTCTAGTTTGGATTTTGTTCTGTTTCTTGTGGGAATTGCATTTTTAGCAAGGTGTGATGCTCAAAGGTGACAAAAAGTGATCTCTTCTTATTCTTATTCATTCTATTTGACTGCCAATCAAGAATCATGAGGATTTGTTGCCAGTAAGGTATACTTACTGTTTTCTCAGATACAGTATAATACAATGCGTTGGTCCTCAAGGCAAAATCCTTTTATGTTTTGAGTTACAAAGTTTAAATCATGCACTGTTGGTACTCTTTTCATTTGGGGAGAAAAATGTACAGATCATTTTGCTGGAAAATTGTAAATGTTATAGTTTTCATAACTATTAGATAACTTGTTTTTCTCAAGCTGAGATGGCCTTTTCTTTTTTTACTATTTTGTCATTCGAATATGTTCAGGCACAAACAACCTATTAATTCCTTTCTATTAATAAATATAACTATTTATCAATATAACTCTATATATTGCATGTAGAAAATTTTTGGATAGACATGGTGCTTATTTTGTTTTCATAGTTCATGTTACTACCTGCTCTGAAGCATTTATTTATAACCCTGCTTCAATGCAAACTTGGATATACATTTTTAGAACTGTAATTTAAGCATTTTGTAAACATTAAAACATTATGATGTTTAATGTGGTAGAGTTGTTCAAGAAACATTTGTCTTTTTGTGCTAATTTTCTGAGCTTTGCAGATCCTTCTTTAACAAATTAACTCAAATTTTTCGCGTGTACATTATTTCTTTGTGAAAAAACAACTTTATCGTGACGTGCACTGACAGAACCTTTTAATGAGCTTTAGTAATTGACATCAATGTCACAGTCTATGTATTTTCAACTTCAATATTTATCTTAAGCATTTCATACATACAGAATATCCAGTTTGTTTAGAAAGAAGTTTTTCATGAAAATCATATAAAACAAGTTTAAAACATATTAACGATTCCACAATGCTGGGACTGCCATCGCCAACAAAAGGTTATCTTATAATTACAGTGAAATACAAGCGGTATTAACCATTGCCATGTTCTGATATGTTCTGATATCAATGCATGACAGAGGTCATTTTTATGATAAAAATATTTTTTTAAAATTTTAAATATAGTAAATAAACGTTGAAAAGTTAAAAAGGTTTTAGTTATCAATATTTTATAACATTTAGAATGATGGTTGTTTTTTAAACTAAATTTACAGTTAAGTACAAAGGCTTTAGAATAGAGAGAGAATATCTTCATTTAATCTTGTGGCTCACAACCTCATTCTGGCAACATTGACTGCTAGCATACATGTAGTTTGCACAGACACTGATTTTGAAACTATTGCCTTAGGCTGCTCTGTTTCGGTCTGGATTTTAATGTCAGGAGTTCAGACAGCTCCCATATTTTATATTAAAGTGCAGAAGATGAAACACTAGTGGCTTTACACCCTGAAATACCCATGGCACTTTCCAGGTAACTTTAAACATCTCCAAACACTGTGGTGAAAGAAGTGATTCATAATTTGACTCTATGGAGTTTTTTTAAAAGTAAGATGACCAGTATCTTCTTGTTCTCTATTGATATGTTAGGTGAAGTCTTTGTTTTGTATCCTTTGCGAATAGAACTTTGCTGCTTTTGTCTTCATCCCTCACCCCCCCCCCAGTTTTAAAGTCACATTTACCTCAGAGAGATTTCTCACTGCTACACATCATGAAATTCAAGGGCAACATAAATAATGCAGACTGAAGCTGAGACCTAAGCAAGGCTGGGCCTTAATCAATACAAGGATGGTAGAGCTCTAAGGAAAAAGATGTTGCTGCTCTAAATGGTGTTGGTTGGCCTGTAGGTGGTGACACTCAGTAGTGTAAATCCCATACAGTGTGACGTAGTACACAGTGCCTCAAGAGGTGCTATTTTTTAGTTGGAAAATTAAACCAATGTCCTGACTTCTGAATCATTAAAAGACACCAAGGCACTATTTGTAAAACCAGGAATTTTAGCCATGGGGTTCTGGCTAGATATCATTCTGGATTGCACAGTCTGGCCTACCTACAGTAAATGCTCCTACTTGATACAAATGGTGAAGTGATTTCCCATTTGTCTGTAGTGCTTACATATATGTAAAGAGGATCCTTTGGGATGAAAAGTGCTAAATAAATGCAACTTAATTATAATGAAGTCAAAACTCGTGTAAACTGTTGCCCGCATTGTCATCTGTTCCCAGCGAGGAAAGGGAACAGAATTGAACATTCCAATTCATTACCTGTCCTTGAGAAGAGTGAATCTAGGCCTTATCTGCCCTCTGTTTGAAACTGCTCATGGGTCCCAACAGAAGTTCCAGTTTGACATGGTAAAATAGTGGTTCAGATCACCTGCTTGTACCCTTGAATGAGTTGTTTCACCCTTGTTACTCCAGTCCATGCTGCTGTAAAACTGGGTGCCAGCATTGTGAGATGGGGCTGGCAGCTCAACCATGAGTGTGTCTCTGTCCATTTCACCTCGCCTTTCTTAAATATATATACAAGTATC